GCGTAGAGTGGAGAATGTGACCCTGAAATCTGTTTGCGGACCGATCAAACTACTAGCAAATGGCAAAAGCAGAGGATTCACGTCGTGATCATCAACAGACCATTTTGGGTCGAAGTGAGGAACTGAAATCGAATCCGCGAAAATCAGCGATTGGGAGGTGAGGGTTAGAAATCGCCCGGGCCAGAGTGGAGATTTCAGAAGTGTCGGCGATTAGCGAAACGAGGTGGCTTAGAGCGTACACGTCAACTTGATCCTGCTGCGTCGTTGAAGAGGCTTTTCAGTAGTTGTATCGCATTCTGTGAAGGACATGATACATGGACTGAAAAAGTTGAAAAAATCGAAATTTCTGGTGAGAGACTCCAGAAAGCGAAAGCACACACAGAGAAGAAAGTGTAAGCGAACACGATATGTTTTTGCGGCGTCCTAAATACCAGATGGCCCTCTCTCAATGTCATGGAGAAGGTTTTTCGGAAAGGATAAGGATGGTACCAGTTTGATCGGGTCAGTATTCAAATAAAGGCGCAGCCTCCACCCCAAAGTATGAAAATCATCTGATGATAATATATATATATATATATTGGAAGTTTATTTCCGAGGAACGTATACCTGGAAGCGAAAAAGAGAGAGCGCTTAGACGTGGAGTAAGCGGACGAAGGGATAATTAAGGAAAAACCGCGACAGTTGTATGGGCGAGTTCTAGAGGTAAGGGCTCAAATTCGAGGAAGATATGGATCATAATTAACGTGAAAAAGGAGACAGAAGTCTGCTCCGAGCCCATGAAAATCTAGGTTAATTATCTGACATCTAGCTGAGTAGGAAATATTTAGATGTTCCTTACCTAAGTGTCGTCTAGTAAAATGTTCTTGAACATTTTAAACTTTTGAACGAATAGCTTTCTCCATCAAACCAAAGAATGGGCATTGTTGTATCCAGCCGGTCAACGCTTGGAATTCTCCACGCCCTCCTCTCAAGTGCTTCCACATTTGGCCCCTGTTGACATTCCCCTTCCCCTTTTGTAACCTTTTTGAGCGCGATCGGCGTTCTTTTAATTAACTAATTTTG